CTATAAGGCAGCTCGCTACTAAGCGACGCGATGTTTTCAAGAAGCTTCTATCTAACAAGACCGTACCCGTCAGACTGTGCCACGTCTCCTGGCTGACGGCACAGTCCCTGCCAATCCGACAGACTGCACCCACGTCTCTCGACAGACGGTGGCGTGCCTGTCCTTCCGGGACGTGTCACTTATCCGATTGGGTAGTACCCTGCAACGATTACCTGCATAGCCCTGGCAGATAACGGCTACGACAGAGGCCCAGTGGTGGTTACACCCGATTTGACAAGAACGCCCATATATAAGAGCCCCTTGGTCGAAGGGGAGGAAGGATCTTTTGATCTTTGATCTTGATCTTGAACTTACTTGAGCTTTCTCTCGAGCTAATCTCAAGCACTCAGTGATTTAGCGCGACCTACACTCTTTACTACTTTCTCCAGCGTTCTAACTTAAGCATCGAAGTATTCCCACATAGCAAGTCCCCCGAAAATCCTTCACCGTCTTCTCCTTAGGTACTGTCCGTTGCCAGTTAGGAGCCAGTCAACAAATAGATAGGAATGCCCGGATTGCACAACATCAAAACACGTTGCATCCAAATGAGGTCATAGTGAAAGGCTCACCTTCTTGAAACCATTTCCAAGGTGTTTTAAATTCTGTCTGTTGTTGACACACGACCGGATTTTTAAATTGAAAAAAAACCATCATCCAATCTTCTTGAAGCCATTTCGAATGCAGGGCTTAATTATAGATGGGATAGACCAATCATCCAATCTTCTTTCCCGTATTATTTGGGGCCTTCTATTATAATCTTCAAACCTCCAAGAAAAATCTGTTCATATGGAGCCTAAACTGATGATGTCGTAGAGCATAACCTAATTGACATGTGTAGCTTTAGATCTAAAAGTGTGTAGAAGGGTGTATCCATCAAAATTTATGTTGTGATGGTCCCCCTTTCCCTTTCCTCCCTTGTTGGGGGCCGGATGTATTTATTGGGTTGCGGACGTCAATACTTCACGGTGTCTTGCCAATTAAAGAAAAAAAATACTTTTAAGTGTCTTACTTCGTCTGTAACTTGTCTTTCTTATTCTAGTGATGGATGCCCATGAAGAATCAAGGGAGCTAATCTATTGGGGTCAGATCAAAGTGCCTGGAATACATCCATCAATGTCAACGACTGACCTGGTGAACCACATCGGCAATTGCTTATCTGAACAGGACATCTGGAAATTCACTTTTCTCTGGTGAAGAATTGCAAAACAGGGACGTGCTTGAGGAGATTAATTGCACAATACCTACTTGGTGATTCTCAGCTTGCATCAGGTTCTGATGATCAATCCCTAATGTCAAGAGTCAATTCTCAATCCCTCATATCTAGAGTCAATTCTCTTTGCTGTCTGCAACAGAAGGATCCTGCGTTTGCTCAGAACAATCAAGGTAATGATGACTTAGATGGACCTGATGATGGCAAAGATGGTCAACCTATTTCAGTCCCTGACTCAACCTGCGAGAACAAGGTTCTCGGTGATGATACTCCAGCGACCAAGGGTGAGTCCAATGATGTCTCTGGATGCAAGCAGCAACCATCTATATCTAGGAAGGACTCGGTTGGTGATATGCTGCTTAATCTACCCCGCATCGCATCTCTGCCGCAGTTCTTGTTCCATATCTCAGAGGATGGAGAAAATCAAGCTAGATAACGATCTTTAATCCCACCGTGGACTATACTTCGTTATGTAAAAGATGTATTGGGGGCTTCATTTTCTCTCCCATAAATGTTAATATGCATGTAGCCCATCAAAGTTCTAGGATTCGGAGATTTATTTTGATGATGATTCCTGATCTCTATAGGGAGCTGGTTGTTAGCAGTAGACTAGTAGTTCCATTTTAGTTTGTTTCTGCATGTTCATGTAAATAATAAATCAGGGTTCTCAACTTCCCATTGTAACAATTATGTATCTGCCCTTGGAACTTTTAACTGAAAATGTCGTTTTGTGGTTTACCATGTCATGAATCTTCTGATGGGAAGCAGCACCATAGAACTCATAAATAATCAAATAATCCAAATAATAATTTCATTTACTTTTCTTGTTCAAATTTATGTAGAAACACATACTAACAGCATGATGAAGTATTCACAGAATGATTTACAGCCACATACACGCCAATGTATGCACATATGAATTTAACAACATACAACAAATTAATCTCTATCTCATCTAAAGCTTCATCCCAACTATTATGGGTTGGGTTGGGGAAACAACAAATTAACTAATAGATATTTATCAAGAATCCTCTGTCCCTTCATCAACAGCTTCACTCTCCTGCAACATGTTCATCAGCATGGAGATTTGGTTCTTCAACATGTTATTCTCCCTCTCTACATCTGCCCGTTTGCTGCGTTCTTGCAGCAGCTGAAGTTGCAAATGCTCAAGGCATCGTGCATCCTCTTCCAATTGCTCATTCAACCCATCAATCTCCCTATCCTGCACTTCATAACCAGGCCAAGAATCACTTAAAAAAATTACCCATTTTCCATTCCTGTCCATTCATAAAGGATGATAAGCTACCCACCTTTCTGTTCATTTCCTGAATTGCAATCCTGCGCATGCTCTCGACCACATCCACATTTACGAGCTTCCTTTTCTTCCCAATCAACCAGCCTCGAGGATAGGTCGTGGAATCAAAATCAGGTGGAGGGAGTAACATCTCAGCAGAGGGTCGACGGCCATTTATATTCATTGTTGGCTCCAGTGGTTCGAAGAGAGCCTTTCGACGCTYTGAAAGAACTACAGTGGCTGTAGGCGAGTCCTGAACTGGGGCATCAGTGGTCTTTGGAGGCTCCTCAGCTTTGTTGGGTGCTTCTTCTGTTGCCTTATCTAGACTCCTACTACTTGCTGTTGGCAAATGGCAACTGCCATCATGTTAGATTTCTTTTGTGAAGTAAAGACTTGGAACCAATGGTCTCTACTCTCTACTGGAAAAGCAAACAGGACAAAACAAAATTCAGAAACCGTTGTGTCAATGGTGGTTGTAGAGTTTAATAGAAGAGCTTCTGCTTCTGGGTATCTTAAAGAAGATCAAATTTGAGCATCAGATCCCAGTCATCCCATGTTTTTCTCTTGGAGAGAAAGAAAGTTTTAAGAGCAATGGCTCTGTTTGTTTGCATTAGTACAAACTACAAATGCATGAGTGCAAATTTTGGTCCACTTTTGCTATGGCTTTTAATTTACTTTGCATCGGTTTTGGTAAACAAATTTACAAAATACAAGCAGCATAAAGCAAAAGTGGAAAGTGGAAAGTTGAAAGTTGAAACAAAAGTAAATCAAAATTTGCACTTAATCATTTGTAGTTCCATACTTTTGCACTAGTGCAAACGAACTCACGACGTCAACGTCTATTTATGAAAAGACACACTGTAAAACGAAGGAAGAGTGTTTTGAAGCCTTTCGTATTACGCACCATGGGTTGAAGCAACCAGCATTCTAAGTAAAACTGTCACCAAACAAACGGACAATTTTCTAATTGGCTACAAACGCAAAAAATATACAGAACTAAAGCTCAACAGATCTTGGTCTCATCTCTCAGACTAAACTCTAAAGTTCAGCCAGAAACCCATCACAGTTCCAAAATGAACTCTGATCAATTCCAACAAATGGATATATGGGTATCTCTAAATCATGCAAATTTTCACAAACAGAGAGAGAGAGAGAAGACAAATTAGAAGGGGGATTTAAAATTACCGGATCTTTTCCGAGAATTCCAGAAAATCCGCGTAGGAGTAATTGGAGAGAATCCATCCAATGACCCGTCACTCTTTTCCCTATCCGAATTCGGTGCTTCCATCTGAAAAAAAAGGGGGTATCTACTCCAGCTCCAAATTCGAAAGAAACTCCACAGTTCACATTTATAACAAACAGAGCCCCGTAGAGAGAGACTCTCTCTCTCACTCTGGCAATCTTCGTCTCCTTTCCTGCTATTTCCTTCTTCCCGGCTTCGATGGTCGTTATTTACGATGCAGAGGCAGAGAGAGAAAGAAGATTAGATTTCTTTCCCGAGTTCTGGACACGCGAGTTGACAAGCTAACGGGCGTTGGCTTTTGGTGCTGAAAAAAATATAAAATATCTGATGAGCGATGATGAGTATTGTCTCTCTGTCTACCCCTCAGCGGGTCCCATTCTCCCCTTGTTAGACGACAATTTGAGAATGACGTGCCTTCATCCCAACCGTTCATAATGAAAAAAAACACGTGCTTATTTACTCTTAACCTTAACTTCGATCTAAACCACCAATCTTGCCACGTGGAATAGATAACAATACATCATTAATTTCGTACGTTACACTTCCTGCTGGACACGCGTGGATACAAGGGTATTATAGTAAAAAAACGCATATTTAAACATTTATGAGATCATGTTTATTTGGTCAAGTTGTATTCTAAGATGTGGAGTTGGGTTGTAAGTTGTAACCAGATACGGAGGTGGAAATTGACGCATAACACCCTCCGTTATGTCCATTGACCCCTCAAACAAAGCTTACGTAACCGGTTAGTAGGATTGTTAGATGGGGTATTGAGAGAATATTCGCAGCAGTTGGATAGAGAGATTTTACATCTCCGCCCCATAACGCCCTACAGCGCATCTCCGCCGTGTATTGAGAATACCTCCCGATGATAGTATGGGCGAGACATTGTGGAGCGGAGATGTGAATTCGGTTATTGATGATTTCATGATACGGAGCCAATTCTGTTTTCTATTACAAGAACTTCACTGAGTGATGAGCGACCCGAGTCCGGATCTCCTGCCCACAGAATCTCTGTGCATGTTTATCCACATAACATCGCAACCACAAATGGATAAATTTAATTTCATTAACTACTAAAACCTATCCTATGTTTTACTAACACATTCCTTATGGTTTACAATCAATTTTTAAGGAATCTACCTTCCATTAAAATAACAATTTTAGCCCTAACATTAATTTGAATAAACTTAATTAAAAGAAATTAAAAACAAAAATGTCATTTTTGCCCCTAATAAAATATGGACAATCTCTATTTGATCAATTTTATTTTGGGCAAATTTCTTAAAGGACCTTTGAGGTTTATTAAATTGACCAACTCTACCCTTATTATTTCTATATTGTCTTAAAGTATTTTCATGTTTTTTAATAATTGTCTAAAACTTCCGTCATTAGCTTTATGTCATATACTCTGGACATATGACATCACATAATTGATATAGTTTTCAAAAATTCCCAAAATACCCTTTTATGATAAAAAATGCCCTTTCCGCTTAGATTCCCTAAAGCTTGGACCAAGACCTCCATCCTATCTGGTATCTTCCACGTTAATGTCACAACTCTCTCTCTCTTTCTCTACAAATTCATTCTAGGGTTCTTGTTTGTTACATGCTCTTTGCAAGATTGCAACTAGAAGAGCATCTCTCTGCATCAGCTTCAAAGGTGAGTTTGCATGTTTTAAAAACCGGATCAGACCGGATGATTGGATAGGAAAAATCAGGAATCGATTATATGACCAATTTCGTTTTACCCCAGAACCATTATTTTGCCAAAACCATTGATTTGATCGGGTGGTCAAACCATTTGAATCATCCAATGTTTTTGGTTGTTTTTTATTTTGTTTAATTTTTTACTTTTATATCAAAACAGGTCGTTCATTCAGTTTGAACAGTTGAACCATTCAACCCAAAAACCGAACCTCTAATTGATTCGTTGTCCGGTTTAATTTTAAAAACCTTAGTTTAATGGCACTAAGGATGTGAGTGGCATAAACGATCAATCGGTCAGAAGTTGCAGCGGGGTCATAAAACAATCTGATACTTCACAACTTTACATAAAACCTATCCATCCAACTGTTTAAAAAATTACTTAAAGTACTCAGGACATTTCCAACAATGGACACAATCACCCCTTACCGTTACAGTTAGGTTGCCATTAATATTCGCTAGCATATAATGCCATATGACATTTTTATTTTTTTTAAAATGCCTAAATTACCCTTTTATGGCCCAAAATATCCTTCGTCCTTTGGTGACCTATTCTTTTAAAAGAGGAAAGAAAAACTTCAACCGTCGCCGGAGCCAAGGGGACAATGGCTTTAGATTGGGGTTTTCCAACAAAAAGGAATGGAAATGGGTTTGGATGGTGTGACCAACAATGTCTCAGAGAGAGTTTGAAGGAGGTGGAGGAGAAACAGAGAGTTGGTTTAGAGAGGATTCAAGGGAATCGATGCGACGGAAGAGGGGACGATGAAAACAGAATTTACCTGTGAGATTTTGGCCTTAAGTTCGATTGTTGGTGGGACTTAAGTTTGCTGTGATTTGAGTTTGCCAACTGGGATGAAAGTGATCCTCGTGGAATCAGAAAATAAGATAGATCATCTTGCTGTGTTAATGGCATCCCTACAATCAAAAAATAACATAGAGTGATCTGCCTTCAAAGTACTGAGTCAATACCTCAATCTAGGTCGATAAGGGTTGTGAATTTTTTCGGGAAGATCTTCGCCACAGCCGAAGTCCCTAATGAGGAAGGTGACTATCTATAGTGGTCCTCAGAAGTCAGAATTTCACTCGTGCCAATGGAAGGTTTCTCCTCTGTTGCCTCTGTCAGTAGCAAGCCACTAGCAATCTTCTCTTTAACTTTAACAACCGTGATTAGAAGACGGTAATTCAGAGGCTTGAGATCCTTGATATTGTCTATTTCAAGAATGCCCATAATGTCATCCGAATGGAGATGACAAAACTGAGAGGAAGAAGAAGAAAAAGAAGGAAAGGAGAACGGAGATGACGGAACTGAGAGGAAGAGAAGAAAAAGAAGGGGAAGGAGAGAAAGAGAGAGAGAGAAGAGGTCGGAGAGAGAACTTGTAGCCGCCGCCCCTATTCTCATCACAAAGTTGAAGAGATGAACAATGATTTTGGGTGGATTAGGTCACCATTGCTGACCTGCGAAGATCCTTCACTCCCCTTTGTGACCCTTCCTCATTGTCCTCAGAAACCCTAGTGAATCCCCCGATCTCTTCAACCTCCCTACTTAGTCCCTTCACAAATTCTCATTCTCTATGAAGCTCACAAATTTCTTTGCTTTAGAAGAACAAAGCCCATGCCCTTTTATCAGAATCCCACCATAATTGATATTTAGGAGAAGATTGCAGCACACTTCAGAATTCTGAAATTACAGCCCCCATAATGGATTTGATATTTCTGGGTTTCTCTTATCGAGGTTTTACAAAGGCGTGATGTTTCAGTGCACTTAGAGAGTTTTTTCTTTTCTTTCACTAGGATTTGCAGTTGTCACCTTCTTTCTTTGTTTTTATTATCTTTCTTAGTGTTTCATAATTTTTACCTCTTTATTTAATGGAAGGGCAATATAGTCATTTTTTCTTTTCCATCAAGATTTAACTGCTTGTCTATTGTCAGAAATGTCCCAGGTTCTTTAAGTAATTTCTTAAATAGTAGGACAGGTTTGTATTCATTTGCTAAACCATAAGGGTAGTTTAATTATTTAACCCATCATTTTTTACCATATGCACCACTTATACATGAAACAATCTTCTTCACCATCCTTTACCAAAAAAAAAAAAGTCTCCTGCACCGTCCTACTATTGGTTGCAAGGTTGCCATGTAACTATTGCAGGTAATGGAGTTTCTCCTCTTCGTGTATTGCAGCGGATATTCTTTTGAAACATGATTTAATGGAAGGGTAAATTTGATATTTCATCATTTTTGTCAAGATTTAACAACGATGACAATTGTTAGAAAACTTGGGGGGCACTTTAAGACAATATGTAAACATTAAGGGTAGAGTTCATTAATTTACAAAACCTTAGAGGTACTTTAAGAAATTTGACCTCTTATTTTCTATAAAAAAAAATATTAGGGATACTTTTGGAATAAACAGCCATAGATTGATACCCATAACCATGTGTCCATGCCCTAAAACATTTTTCACTCAGTTTAGGTGATCATAATGCTATTTTCATATGGCAAAACGAATAGTTTTTAATGAAAAGTTGATTAAGTAAATGCATCTTATTAGAAGTATTTTACCAACCACCTAAAATACATCTTATTGGTATGGAAATTTGAGGTATTTTAAGAATTGGATTATGACAATTTGGGAGTATTATAAAAAATAAAATTATGGGATCTTAATGTTTTAAAAATTTGGGAGTAGCTTAGAAGTATTATAGAAATTAATACTAGACCCATAAATATTTTACTAGTTTGCCATCGAGTTTGAGGAATTATATGCAAATCCCATCCTTGCTCCGTCCCCAGTTCGGGGCAAGAATATTTTTCCCATCCCGCTTAAGATTGGGGAAAACCCACCCCATTCAGAGCAGGGTGGGCCCTAATTTTATGGGGAAAATTGTCATCCATGCATTACAAACTATAAGAAGTGTTTTAGTAAATGCAAATTATATGATAAATTTAAGTAAATTTGTGAAACTATAGGCGGTGTTCTAATAAATAACCCTTTATTATAACCCAGTTTTAGCCATTGCAATTTGTAACTTATTCAATTCAATGATCTGTGTTCCAAAATGCTTCCTTGAATCCGTAGCAAATTCCAAAACGTCAAGTTTTTGGGAAATCTGACATTGGACAGATCAAAGTCAAGTTAGTTCCATGACAAATTCATCGCATAATCGTAGAATTCTTCCTCATCAACATTGATGCATCTCTAGTGAGCGTGTTACCTGATACAGGCCGTCACAGTTCAAATTGCAGAAAAATTTAGGAATCTTACCGGAGGAGAAGACGCTAAAAGTGTTAGAAGCAAAAGCATTGGTCTTGGTTGGATTGGATGCCATCCACTACTCCTCATGTCCAAACAACTGAACATGGTCGGGATTTGATAATATAACCCCTTCTAGCTCTATAAACGCTTTAGTTGAGTAGATTCTGTTTTGAGGTTCAGTTGGTTCAGATGGATTCTGTTTGCCAATCATTTTGAACTTGCTGTGTTCGGTTGCAGTGTAAATAAATTTGCAATGATGCAAAACTATGGCAGTGCAAATGATTTGAGTGTAAATTCTGACCTATTTTTGTTTCAGATTTGGCCCGACACAGCCCATGGCCCAAGCCTGAGTTGGGTCAACCCTTTCCAACCAAACCAGAAAAAAAAAGTTTGGTTGAAAATTGAGTTAAAGTTGCTGGAAAATGCTAATTCAATGGAAGGTTTAAAGTATCCATACAAAATTGCATGTCACCAAAGGTTCAAAGAATTGGTATGATACATATTAGTTTACAGGGTCAATAATACACTAAATAAGAGTAACCAGCACAAATCAACAACCTTCATGGATAATGTATCTACTCTAATCTGAGGTTTCTACTAGAAAAAAAAAGGAAATTTGGAGATTAGTACCCTGTGCTTTAGGCCTAGTGTCACTTTGGTCCCAAACTTCAAAACGCGCCAATCCAGTGCCTAAACTTCCAAAATGTGCCAACTTAATACCTACCGTTAACCAGCCATTAAGTGGCATGTGAAAAGACAAATGCCCTTCAAGTGTCGCATAATTTTCTTTATCAACCATCCAAATGCCCTTCTCCTAAGAAGTCTCAAGTCTGAACCATCTCTCTGCTTCTCTTTCTTAGATCTCTATTTCTCAACTCCTCCCACTCCCATACCCCAGGTTTAATGGCTGCAAGCACTACCATTCCCATGCAAAACTCGATACCTAAAACTTAAACCTCTATTTCATCTTCTTGATGAAGAAGAGGATGATCAGTGTTTTATTCTTAAGGGTAATTTTGATATTTTCAAAGGTTTTAAGTCAAACATGATGTCATGTGATACACATAACTGGCGGCTGATTAACGGTAGGTACTAAATTGTCATGTTTTGGAAGTTTAGGTATTAGATTAACACATTTTAAAGTTTGGGGACCAAAGTGAAACTAGGCCCAAAGTACAGGATACTAATCTACAGTCCCCCNAAAAAAAAAAAAGAAAAAAGAAAAATAAATAAATAAATAAATAATAAAAAAAGACACTAATCCAAGGAAAGAACCCAACATTTCAGCCAGGGTTAAGGGTCCGAGAGGAAATGGTGTCACAAACACAATTCTTTGCCAACTTGGCTTTATGATTGTAACTGTATTGCCATCAAAATTCCACACAAGTACGAGAAACAGAATTGCATATTCCACAAGGATATACTTATAATAACTTAATAATCTAAAGAGACAACCATTGCTCAGTAGCATCAATAACAAGCTAAAGAGACAACCATTGCTCAGCAGCGTCTGTGTGCCCCTTGAAAGGTAGAATTGTCTTGGCTCAACAATTTTCTTAATTAGTTACATATTATTTATTTAATACTCGACGTTGGCAAAAGACTGCTTGCAGATTGGATATCTAGAATCATTCAGAAACAAATACATATTCAGAAAAAAATTCGTAGTATAACAATTACACTTGTATAGTCTCACTCATTATTTCTATGCTGATAAAAGAAGTTTTGTATAAACTTGCTACCTCTGTAAGCAGAATCTATTCCCAATTAATCAAGAGACTCCTGCTATGAGGATTTACAGATTATGTACACTGTTATCAGACTCAATTTCAATATCACCTATGTATCTACATTTGTTGTTATATCCTTTCCACCACTATTCAGCTGCTGCCAACAAACTACAGAACAAAATTTTCATAAGGGGAACAAAATAAGTGAATGAGTGGGCAGTCATTTGGGAGGGCTTGGGACATCGCCAAGGGCACAAGAAATGCATGGAGGGTCTTTTGACTGCTCCTTGGTGGTGATGAGCTCTAAACAGTCAGCATGAAAAGTATGCCTGCATGGCAAAACTGCAGGTTTTTGATGACTGGAAGTTTGGGACCAAGAACCTATTGGTACAGGTTCGATATTCATTTTGCATAAACCACATTTCTCTTTCTTTCGTTGAGGGGATTCTTCTACGAAACCTGTGCAAAGTTTATTACCACAATTAATTCATGATCCCTGTCCCAACTATTATCACAACCAATTATTCTAACAATAAAAAAATCACATAATCATAATAGTATAGCATTTATGTGGAACAGATTAAGCTTGACACTTCTAGTCATATCAGGCGTATCATATCAATATTGGTGTGTCCAGATACGGTTGGATACATCGACACATATTTTTAAAAGTTTAAAGGGTCTAAGACTTTTCTGGGACCCTCTAATTATTGTATTGATATTTTAATCCTTGCTTTTACATCAAAACCCAAAATTACCCCATTTTAGAAATTCTCATCCTTTTGTACCATATATTTGGATGCATTTATGTCATCAATCCAAATCTTTCAAATACCATAGAATTTCACAAGCTGAACGAGAAAAAAATTTTATGCTGTTTTGACAAACCCAGATAAGCTAGAAGGCTGTGTCCATAATCACTCAAGCAGTTTCAAGACCATAGCTGGAACCCGCAGAGGGTAAATTACCACTGTTATGACAAACACAAATATCCTGATAGAAGCCTTTGTTTGGATAAACATCCAAACTGTTTGACTTGGCAGTTAATCAGGTAAACAAAGAACAACATAAACATAGTTGTCAAGGTGATGCCTAGGTGGGGGCCTAGGCGACAAGGCGCTTTTGAGGCTCACCTCGCCTAATTGCCAAGCAGTTTTGTACTATGTATGGTAAAATACTTTCTTATTATTTATTTTTTGATATTATAATTATAAAATAGGCACTATTAAACTAAAATATTCATTTTGTGTGTTTATATACTAATTTCTTTTTATTTTCTTATTTGTTAGGGTTTAATCAATACAAACATTGCTAAATGCTGTATTGAACCCTCAAAGACTTTTTTTTCCTTCTTTTTTTTCTCATGAATATGTTGATTTTCTGTACTTTAACATGAACTCTATACTTTTCTTATGAAAATTATGAATAATTATTAAGGAAATATGGCTATGGTACATAAGGAACTACCCTAGGATCTATGTTTTCTACAAAAAAAAAAAAAAATCCACCGCCTAGGCGACAAGGCACCCCCCCCCTGACGCCCAGCCTCACTTTGGTGCCTTGAAAACTATGAGCATAAATCCTTGGCTTCCATCACCAAAGGATGAGGCAATTTTGGATTGTCCAAATTGGTGACCATGTGTACCACATTGAAGAAGAAAATCCACAAGGAAGTTTAGGCTTTAAATCCAGAATATGTGAGCAGATTCTAAAATCTTAACATGCTAGAAACCTGAAAAAGGAGATGATGGAGATACCTTTCCACTTGATATGGTGGACAGGATCAGTCTGCCTTACGGACAAGGATGGAGCAGTGGAAGATTGAGGAGTGAACCTTTTACTTGTAATCGGGGGAGTAGTTGCTGTTGGTTGGCTATTGCCCTTCCTACCTCGCCGTCCTCGAGGAATGTTGGTAGTTCGAAGAAGCTTACTTATATCTGGCACTGGGATTGGTTTGACTGCAAGAAGGCAATACATGAGTAAATTAATTTCTTAATGGAATCTACATTCATATTTGGAAGTGAGCAAAAGTGAGGGTATCTTATATAATACAACTAACAGCTTCTCCAAGAAGATTATTAGTGGATTGAGCAGGCCGATTTTCTTGAGCTTCAGCAGGCGCTACAAATAGTTACAACAAGCCATTTGAAAGACACAAAGCATGTCAGGACCTAGAACCTTCCAGTAGTTTCAATAATTTGCAACAAGAAAGTAAACACAAAATCAGACAAGTCATGGACTTTATCTGGAAATTTCATATTGTTTGCAGATAGGGTAGATGGACAATGGAAAATTTATTGGTGGTTTTGTCTCAAAATCTGGGAAATAGCTGTGCAAGGAATTGGTTCTCATGAAATGGTCCAACTGGCCAGACAGTAAACAGTCAGCCCAGCTATATTTTATATATAAAGTGAAAATTATCTCGAAATATGCATAAAACTATCTATTAGACATATTTAAGACATGAATAAATATAAATAATGTAATATCTAACCTTTTCTTGAAAAAAAACGAAAAAAAATCCTGGACCTGACTTGTTCTTCATCTGGTTTTGCTGCCAGGTCTCAGGACAGAGATCATCCAGGTCAGGCAGGTCTTGCAAGTTGCAAAACTGGTTTTGTTTTCCTCTTACCTTGTGGTAATGGAGGATTCCTAGAAATAGCTTGAGTAACTGCTCTCCTCTCTGCCAGTGAGGTGGACCTAACTGCAACTATCCACAATATGAGTGCCATAATAGACTACTTTCTAAAATGTAAGTTACAGCCAGTGTGTCAGATAGATGTACCACTGTTAAGTGCTGGTGCGAGAAGATTATTAGCAGACTGAACAATCTGTTGTCTTCCTTGAGTTTGATCTGGAAAAGAGTCATAAAAATCATTTTTAGACTGACAATACCATAATGGAACCAAGAGTTCAAGTACTCTCATGGTTATGGTAAATTTAACCAACTAAATTAGAATAGTCATGAGTAGTATATGGAAATCCTGTAATTATAAATATTGAACTCCCTCCCATCTATGGATTTATTATGATTGGTAATATATCATATATGTTTTGATCAATTGAGTCCATTTTATTGTGGAATCTAATTTTGATTGAATGCATGACCAGTGAGCTATAGTGATAGCCATACAAGCAAGAGCATTCCATACGAGTTGTATAATTTTTTACATCTTGGAAAAATCTCTGCTCCTTTAAGCCCTTCCTAATCAAATTTCTTTTTGGACGTGAAGCACAAAATCACCTAACCTGATATAGTGAAAGTGTATGGAAAGGAGAGTGAAGGACTGTGGGGAGATGTTGGAAGGAAGGTATAGGAATGAGAAAGTGTGGGAAATTATTGAAAAAAATTTTAGTGAAGTTGAACAAAATATGATGCGGACAAAGAATATAGAGGAGAGAAGAGGGGAGGGATCAGGTGGAAGGGGAGGAGAGGAGGGGAGAAATGGAGGGGAATATCTAGAGAGGACAGGGGTGGAGGAATCCAATAGGGAGGACTTGATAGCAGAATTTGTGGGGAAACTGGGATGTAGAAAGGAAGAGTTGAATGTTTTGAAAGGTGGCCTACAGAAGGAGAAGGAAATTAAAATAAAGAAAAGAAAACTGAGTGAAGTTGAGAGGCTTAAAAGAGATGTCGTTTGGGGTAAAAGGAGATAGGAGGAAAGGGGGTAAGTAGTGGTTTGTTGAAGAATGGACTTAAAGAAGAAGTGCCTATGAAGATTCTTAGTTGGAATGTGAGGGGTATAGGAAGTGCGAGGAAAAGAGCGACAATCAGAGAGGTAATAAAGATGTATGACGCAGACATTGTATTATTGCAGGAGTCCAAGAGAATGGAGTTTAATAATAGATGAGCAAGAAGTATTTGGAAAGCCAGGGGGATTAGCTAGGTGGCTGCTCTCTCTTCGGGTGCTTCAGGGGGGATAGTGACAATGTGGAAGAGGGTGTGGTGGAAGGTCTGGAGGAACTGATTGGAAAATACTCAATCTCAATTAAGTTTAAGCAACAAGCGGATGATTTTGTGTGGGTGCTCACAAACGTTTATGGGCCAAATGATTACAGAGAAAAAAATGAATTGTGGGAGGAAATGGCTGATATTAGAGGACTTTGGGATGGGCCTTGGTGCATGGGTGGGGATTTCAATGTGATTAGATTCATAGAGGAAACCAATAATACTAATCAGAGGGTGACAACTAGTATAAGGAAGTTTAACCAGTTTGTGGGATGCCTTTGAACTCAAAGAGATACCATTAGCCCATAAGACATTCACTTGGTCAAATCTCCAATCGAGGCCCACTTGCACCAAGTTGGATAGGTTTCTGTTCTCTTTGGATTGAGAAGAGCATTGGGGAAATTTAGACTCTAGGGCTCTTCCAAGATTGACCTTTGACCATTGGCCTATAGTGATTTGCAAGGAGGAAAGGAGGAATGGTGGACCTGCCCCCTTTAGGTTTGAGAATATGTAGTTGCTCCATCCTAGATTCACTAAAAGTAAGGGAGTGGTGGTATAAGTGCAACCTAGTGGTGGATTGGGAGGGGATGAGGTTCCATAGGAAGCTACAATTTTTGAAAGCAAAGATCAAGGAGTGGAATCAATTGGAGTTTGGAAGGCTTGAAGAAAGAAAGAGAACCTTGATGGACAAGATGAAAGGGGAGACTTTGGAGAGACAGACAAGGAACAAAGAAGAGGTTTGAGAAGTCAACTTGAGGACTGCCTACATAAAGAGGAAATTAGCTGGAGGCAAAAATCTCGATGTAAATGGCTACAAGAGGAAGATAGAAATACCAATTCCTTTCATTATTTGGCAAATGGGAGGAGAAGGAGAAATTGTATCTCCAAACTGGAAATAGACGGAGTTGAGTTAACACAAGAAGATGAGATTGCAGGAGCCTTTGTTGGACACTTTAAATCCGTTCTAAGAAGGCCTGTAAGTAGGGGGTGTGGTTAGAAGGATTGGACTGGCTAGATGTAGAAAATGATAACAGGAGAAGGTTGGAGAGAAGGTTTGAGTTGGAAGCTATTAAGGAGGCTGTTTTCTCTATGGATAGAACAAAAGCTCCAAGACCGGATGGCTTCACAATGGCTTTTTACCAAGACTGTTGAGATACGGTGAAAGATGATCTTTTGTTGGTTTTTTAGGAATTTCATAGGAGAGGAGTGGTTAACCCAGGTGTGAATTCCACCTTTCTAGCTTTGGTCCCAAAAAAGAAAGATGCATTGCATCCAAAGGACTTCCGGCCAATCAGCTTGGTAAATAGCTTGCATAAGATCCTTGCAAAGGTGTTGTCTTTGAGATTGAAGGAAGTGTTGTTGTTGGGAACCAAGGCCCAGACCCAATCCAGGCCTCCGCTCACTCACACTTACCTGAGGAAGAACACATGAAAGCCGTTTCAGCACCTAACTACAACAAGCAACACGCCAACTGATCCCTCTGCATGAGTTCGTTAGAGCACAGAGTTTGTTAAGAAATTTTGTAACCCAAAACCATTATATGGGTTGGCCGAATGAATGAACAAGCAATTGAATCCACACTTCTCTCTCTCTCTCCCTCTCTCTCTCTTTTCTCTTCATTTCTGCATAGGAGGAAGGGTCTCCCTCGAAGAGACTCCTGAGGTGAGCAGCAACTCATCAATTGGTATCAGAGCCAGGTTGGCCAGCTTGAACGATCGAAGATGAAGTCGATCTCCACCAAGTGGTCACGGGGCTTAAGGAGATCAAAGAAGCCATGTCGATGGTCGCATCTCAGAAGGAGAAAGCCACTCCCGCTGCAGGCCGAGATAGTGACAATTAAGAATCTAGCTGAGGTAGCAACAGGATGGGAAATTATGTTCCAGAAAGAATCACCAAACTGGACTTTCCGACGTTCTACGGGGGAGATCCGATTCCTTGGATCTTCAAGGCCAAGAAGTACTTCGAATATTCATGGTGTACAGGGGCTCCAACGTGTGACTATCACTTTTTTCCATCTAGAAGGGGAGGTGATTTTGTGGTTTCAGTGGTTCAGATGCTCCCGTCCCCAAATTTCATAGCAAGAGTTCATGGAGGCATTGTGCATATGATTTGGTCCTACTGGGTACGACGACTACGACAAGATGCTATCTAGGGTAAAACAGACGGGAACAGTATGAGACTACCAAGTCGAGTTTGAAGGCTAGCCACCAGAGTACATGGGTGGCCGGAGAAGGCGCTGGTTAGTTGCTTTGTCAGAGGATTGAGAGACGACATCAAGGTAGAAGCGAAGGCCCTTCAGCCCACTTCTCTGTCTGCGACTATAGGACTAGCAAGGTTGCAAGAGGAGCAACTCAACCGACTAAAGAAGGTGACGACTCGCCCGTCAGGGCCCCTGTTAAAAACCCCATCCCGTCAAGATGGGCTTCTTCCTAAGCCCATGACAGAACCCATCCGACCTGTTGGGGAAACCACTCGGACCACCCAAGGACCCACACCGCCAACTAAGAGCCCAGTCCCCTTCAAACACCTCTCCTGGGCTGAAATGCAGGCTCGGCGTGAGAAGGGCCTATGCTACAATTGTGATGAGAAATTTGGGCCTGGTCACCGATGCAAAACCCAAAGGATGTTCTTGCTACAATGGGAGGAGACTGGAGGGGAAGATGATGAGGAACTAGCTGAGGAGGAAAGGGAACCGAACAGTACTCAATACAACAATCCCGAGATCTCTATGCAAGCTTTGACAGAGCTAGCATCCCCCAAATCTATAAGGGTTGAAGGGAAGCTCAGAGGCCGGCGGGTATCCGTTCTCATAGACAGCGAGAGCACACTGAATTTTGTCACACAAGTATTAGCTCGCCAACTAGGTATTACAGTGCTCTACACTTCTCCATTTGTTGTTAGAGTGGCGGATGGTAATCGCATTGAATGTGAAAGTATTTGTAAAAACGAAAAGCTAGTAATCCAAGACCACGCTTTCATTGTGGATCTGCAACCATTGGATTTCAGCAGGGCAGATGTAGGGCTCGTTTGATAACACTTTTCAGACGTTTGGTGTCTAAAAAACTTGCTTTTTAGACACTAGACGCATTTGGTGCAACATCTAAAAATAGATCTGAATTCCAATTTCAGATCTGAAACATTAATCATATGGGGAGGCTCTTAACGCGCTAAGACGCGTTTATGAGCTATGAAAAGGTCAAGAATAGCCTCTACTTTTCTATAATGATGCACATACCCCTGATGCCCCCCAAACCCAAGAAAACCCTACTAGAAAATCTTCATCGAAGGTACCTTCTTCTTCTTCTTCTTCTTCTTCTTCTTCTTCTTCTTTCCTATGTTTTACAGTTCATTTATAATCTCTACTATTTTGAAGGTTTGTTTATGCGTATTTTGTTTTGGTGTGTATTTTGTTTTTGTTTTGATGTGTATTTATGCATATTTTGTTTTGAAGCATATTTTGTTTTCTTTTTCTTGATGCGTATTTTGCTACTTGTTTTGATGCATAAATCCCCAGTCCAATGTCGCCACAGATGAGACCAATGGACTCAGAACAGATACTCGTATGACGTTCTTCCTTGTTCTTCCCTACTCTTTCCTTTGTTCTTCCCACAATGCCAAGAAGAATGGCACAAGTCTTTGAATCAGTTCAAGTGATGAATACAGCCGAAATCTTTAGGGAGTCCATCAAGGTTTTACTTCTGCATCCAACCCATGGAAGAAGGTTATTTATGAGAAGGCTATGCAAGTAGTTTCACACACTTACAATGGGATTTGTTCAATGGTACTTGGGTTTTGGGGTGTCCTATGGCTTCTGGGAATACCTTCTGTGTGGGATTTGGCAAGGGTTTTGTCTGTGTTTAGTGAACGAGTGTTATGGGTTTGCGTCTGTGATGAAAGCCAAGAGT